ACACTGGTGGAAAGAAACCCTCAGTACTCTGGGTATTGTCCACAGATCACAGGCGTAGGTGAGTTGTTCTTTTTAATTAATCATTTGTCCTTCAAACGAGGGAAAGTTTCAGTGCCGTAGATAATTAGGTCCCAGAGTCGGGCGGCGGCAGAGCCGGTAGCCACCTGCTGCCTTTGTAGCGCTAATCTTTGTCTTGTAGGAGCGTCGTCCCCGAAGACGCCATGGCTACGCACGCCGAATGAGCAGAATGAGAAAACACCTCTGAATCCCCACATGATCCTGCTCCTCCTCCTCTTCTCTCTTCTTTTTATTCTGTTTGTCTTTTTTCCCCTCTCTGCGTTCTTTCAGACTCCCTCCACTCTTCCTCCTCTTCTTTCCTGTAATCTTTTACTTGTTCTTATTCCCTCCACTCCTCCTCTTCCTTTCACTTCTTTTACAACAGAACTTACCCCTCCTCCTCTTCCTCCTCCTCCAGATCATCTCTTCCTCTTTTCATCCTGTTATTCTTTTCTCCCAGTTCTCTACTCTCACAGCTTCCTCCTTTTCCATCTCGTCTTCTTCTCCTGTTGTTGCTCCCTACACTGTCCATCCTCTTTATACCTTCCATTGCTGTACAACTTATTCTCTCTTGACTTCCTCTTTCCTCCTTTCCATCCTTTCATCTGATATTTCGTCTACTTTTACACCATTTTCCTTAATTTCCTTCTCCTCTTATTCCTCCTCCATTTCCTTTCCATCTGTTTATATTTTCTTGCTCACACTTCCCCTACTTTTTCCTTGCTTTATGCCTAAATTTGTGCTTCTTTTCTTTTCCTCCACGCTGTTTCTTTTCTGTCATCCTCATTTTTTTCATACCCTTGCTCCCATTTCCTATGCTCTTTTTTCTCATTCTTTTTTTCCTATTATTTCTCTATTTTGACTCTTAAACTCTCCTTCTATTTTTCCTTTTTTATAATTTCTGTTGCTTCTGCTCAGAGCCCCTTTGTTCCCTGCTCTTTCTTGATGCATCTCTACGATTCTTCATCTCTTCACCACCCTCCTCCTCTCCTTTGACTCTTTTTTCTCTCTTAGACCCACTGCTCCTCCTTCTGTCTTCTTGTTCTTTTTATATTTTTCTTCCTACTCCAGTCGTCTTCCTGTTCTTCGTCACGTGGATTCCTTTTCTCTTCTCTCTCCTCGCCTTTCTTCCTTCTCTTGCTGTTTCAGTTCTTCCTTCACTTCATTCATGCAGAAATTGT